GCAGGTCAGAGCGGAGCAGCACCGGGCAGGTCAGAGCGGAGCAGCACCGGGCAGGTCAGAGCGGAGCAGCACCGGGCAGGTCAGAGCGGAGCAGCACCGGGCAGGTCAGTGCGTCCCCCTGGGAGGGGAGTGATGGCTGAATAGACAGGTTGACCACTCTGCACCAAGCCAGGTACATGTTATAAGGTAATGACCCTGATGGTGTGTGCTGCCGTCTCCTGCATATTACACCCACAGCAGCCTGGTCTCCCCGTCTGTCCCGTGTTATGTCATCTGCCGCACACTAATCCCTCCCCTGTCCTTGGAAAATCTTTCTTCCACAAAACCGGTCCCTGATGCAACAAAAAAAAAAAACAGAACAGCTGGGGACTGCTGCTATAAAAACAAAACGCATGTAGGTCACTGCCAGTGTGCATGAGGCCTTGGGACTTGTATACAAACCCAACTTTGAAGCGAACAAAACCCATAAGAAAGAAAACCAATGCAGCCGCCACATGGAAGGACTGGTAAGCTGCGATATATTTATATTTTTGGCTTCAGACACAATAACTGATGGCCGACAGTGAACGCATCAGATTGATGTCAATGTTCTGTAATCAGGTGACTTCTAACAATCAGCTAAAGCCACAAAGTGAATGCAGCTCTGTGATCAACACTAAATGCAAGCAGTGTAAGTACCCGAATGTGACCCCGGCCTCTTGCAGACAATGAACAGCAGGGCTGGAATGTTAAGGGTAGAAGCAGCACAAGGAGCCAATCAGTTCATGTGCTGACAAGTAGCATGCTGATACAAGGAGAGAGCAGAGGGACAGAAAGAGGAGCTCATCACGGAGCTGCTGCTGCTTCTTCTTCCAATGCCCAGTCACAGGCAGGGGGCGGGTCCAGGATGACCCAGAGGAAGTGGGTTATACAGTGAGGAAAATAATGATTTGATCCCCTGCAGATTTTGGAAGCTTGCCCAAAGAAATGAAAAGGTCTATAATTGTTATCATCGGTGTTTTTTAAATGATGGAGACAGAATATCAACCAAAAATCCAGAGACATCACATGATACAAATGGAGTTGCAGTTCAGTGAGTAAAATAAGTATTTGATCCCCTACCAACCAACACTAATTCTGGCTCCTCCCACAGACTGGCCATGTGGTACAGATGAGTCCTGTCACTTTAAGAAGGTGCTCCTAATGACAACTCGTTATGTATATAAGACACCTGTCCACAGAATCTTTCTTCCAATCACACCTCCCCACCATGGGCAAGACCAAAGAGCTGTCAGAGGACGTTAGGGACAAGATTGTAGACCTGCACAAGGCTGGAATGGGCTACAAGACTATCAGCAAGAAGCTCGGTGAGAAGGACACAAGTGTTGGAGCGATTATTGGTAAATGGAAGGAATACAAAATGACCATCAATGGCCCTCGGTCTGGAGCTCCATGCAAGATTTCGCCTTATGGGGTGAGGATGATCGTGAGAAAAGTGAGGGATCAGCCGATAACTACACGGGGGGGGGGGGGGGGGGGCG